GTGTGTGTGTGTGTGTGTGTGTGTGTGTGTGTGTGTGTGAGAGAGAGAGAGAGAGAGAGAGAGAGAGAGAGAGAGAGAGAGAGAGAGAGAGAGGATCACTGCAGGGCGTGCTCGCGCTTGAAAACGAGCGCGGCACTTCAGGCGGGCACACGTGTGTTCTATTTGGATAGAACTCCTGTCTGTTAGGATAGAACAAACGTGCGTACTATTCAAATAGAACATCGTGCATGATATTTCAACGTGCGTACTACTTGGACATTAGTGGAGGTCATTTAGTACCCACTGCTTGACATCTGGAAAGGTAGTCTCTCCTGGAAATGGCAGTCCTTTCCAGAAAAGGAAGTCTTTCCCAAAGGAATGGCAGCCTTTCTATTTGCATGTTTGACAGGCTTATCGTTGACCCAGGTAGTTGGGCTTCTGTTCGTCGCTGATAAGGACATGTCCCTTCTGATCATTATGTCTCTTGCTGTCTTTTTTATGTGAACTGTAGAAAAAGACAAAACTGACAAGACGGAGAAAGAGGACTCCGGGAGCGTCACCACGTCTGCGGGTGCGGGGAAGCATGCTGGTGAGAAAGGAGAGAAAGCGGGAGCAGGGGAGAAAGGAGACAAGGCTGGGTCGACTGAAAGAGGTCCAAAGGGTGGGATAGGGGAGAAGGGTGCGGCTGTCGGGGGTGAGCGAGCATCGGACACACACGGTGGAGGCTCGGGCACAGCAACAGGAGCCCGCAAAGAAGTCCATGAGAAGGATAACCATTCGAGCGACCATCATCATCGGCGTCGTCATCATCATAAAGGGGGGCGGGAGGAGTTGGATGGTGGGAAGGGAGGGGGTGGTGCTGCAAAGCCTTCCTCAGACCAGCCATGTGGTGTGAATGCGGTCGACTAGTGTGTTGAACCGATGCCGAGGAGAGGGGGAGGGTGGGGGTTGGGGTGTAATGGGACCCAGATGATTAGCTCGGTGTCGGAAGGGTGCCAGAGGGGAGAAAGGGTGCAGCTTGTGGAGGTAAGTTAGCATCGGAGACTTGTATGCCGGAGTCTCAGGCATGGCAGCAGGAGGCCGCAGTCAGCCAGGCCTCCCTCAGAGCGTCCAGGTGGCATGCATGCAGTAGGTTATTGTGTCGAGCCAATTTGACAGGGGTGGAGGGAGAGGGGGGCGGGAGGGAGCGCGAGGCGGGGGAGAACAGATACAGATGATAACTGAGCTTTCTGTCAGAAGAATGAGTCGACACCATTGGTGCGTATGATGTAGGGGGACGAATGTCCTACTTTTGTTGTGGGATCAACAGAGGGAGAAGTGGATGGTGTTCGTTAGCGCTTTGGGAAGACGTCTTACATGTATGACCAGTAAATGGGAAGGTGGAGCAGTACTTTGTGGAACAATTTAGGAGTGGGAGGGGAGAAATTGGGGGTGGGAGGGGAGGAGGAGGAGTAGGTGGTGCATTGCGGCCGAGCTGTTATGTGCAAGTCTCCGGCTTGCAAAGCTTTTTGACTCCGGTGAGAGCAGGTGATGCCATTTGGAAAAACAAAAAAGTGAGTGAGAGAGAATTTCTACAAGTCAATCGAGCTGTGGTTGAGCTGTTTCTAATGTTTTTATGATGCTGATCGAGAGTCTGCGATTGGCGAAGATTTGCACATAAACGAGCAATGGCTTCAATTTTTATGTTTTTATTTTCGTTTGAATGATTGTGTGAATTCCTTCTTGTGTTGATTGATTCAGAAGCATGCGAGAAAAACAGGGCTGCAACTCGGTCATACTGAGATCTTCGGGGCGTACTTCATTACTGATGCCAACCCGCAGCAGCCGGTTCCATGCAAGTGCAAAATGTCGCAGTAGCGAAAATAAGCGAGGGCATCACATGCTGCATATTTCTGTGATGCATCTGACCATAACGAGCCACCAAATTCAATCCAAAATTTCCTAGTGTGTGTATGCTGTTAGTCCATCTTCCAGACACCAAATTTGGCACACAGCAACCTTGAACCAAAACCGAACAGGCAAAAAAAAAAAAAAATCATAAAATTTGAACCACAAACTGGCTCAAAGTTCCCCAACCCTAATTTCAGTTCAGGACCTGGTGACCCAAGAGCTGAGAAGTGGGGGTCCCCATCAGAGACTAGCATTTTTTTTTTGATCACCCAACCCGCCCATGAACTTTTTATTTTTTTATTTTTTTTATTTTAAACTATACTCTTCTCTCAATTTTTCCTCACACTACCTACCTACCACTACTCCTACCTATAGGCATACGGGGACACCCGTAGCATACCAGAGCCGTGTTTTTACGGCCCCTCGAGCCTGCAGGATACCGGCCAGGGGACGGCCAGTAGCACCAGGGATAAAGCGGACCAATCCCCCGTGCCTCCCCTCAGGCCCCTCCCCTACGAACATAGCAGACTCTGCTTGATGCTAATCGGGGGATCCAGTGGTCTATCTCTTGGGTAGCGGGTGCCAAGTAAGCCCAGGAAGGCATGAGGCCAATGGGGATTGAACCCATGACCTCCTGAATGCCACTTGCGAGCCTTACCAACTGAGCTAAGCACAGTCCGCCCTCAAGAAAAAAAATAAAAAATAAATCTCAAGGTGACCCAACCGACCCAAGTGTTTTTTTGAAAATTTCCTCCCACACCTTACCCGCCTGTCACCCGTAAAAAAACATCACCCTGACCCACCCCACACCCGCGATAACAAATGACCCGTCCGCACCTGGTACCTTATTATTTTCCACCCGCCCCGCCCATTCCCCATGGTCTTAGTCCCTTCGAACATTTGCACGCACCATAGCAACATGAAATCTTTGGATGACGGCGCACAAATTTCAAGCGTCTCCGCCTGCGCAAATTCGAATTGCTCCACAAGTTTTGAAATTGGGTAGTGAACCTGAGGCTTGCCACGTGCTGTGGTTAGGTTCGATCCCCATTGTTTTAATGGGAGCGGCCGTGGTCCAGCTGCCACCAGTAGGGCGTGACACATCTTTTCAAGGAGGGCCCCAAATTGTGATTTGCCACTGGCGCGGCTCTTTTTCTCGAGGACCAGGACTTCTTTCCCAGGGGCCCCAAGGTGGAGACTTCCCGTTTCCTGGGCCTCCAACCTTTGAAGTCCACAGAGGGACCATAGCTGGGAAATATGTATAAGGGGGGGATGCGGGGTTGGGGGGGGGTTCTTGTGGGTGTCCTGGGTCTGTGGGTCAGCTGACCCAGGCCTAGCGCTCACCTGCTTGTCACCCACCCATTCGGGTGACCCTGGCCTAACATTGATCCGCCTGTCACCCACCCAGGCTTGCTCGCCTAGACCCACCCGCATCCCACCGATGCTAGCTTATCGAGACCCATACCTGACCCAATGCCTCGTGGGGAAGGCTAGGCTGGTGAATTTTCACAAAAATTACAAGCGTTTAAACCTTTATTTTTTATGGTAATCTGCCTGTTAAAAAAGTAGCAAATATTTATAAACTTCAGGAGGCTTACAACGTTCGATTCTGGCATCAAATTGTGTGACCTTTTGTCGCACGACATCCCGGTCTGAAGCCATGTGAATAAGTGGAAAAGTGGGGTTCATAAATAGGTTCTAAGCAGTGCTGCAAACCCGGTAGGAATGGGGGCCCCTCCCCCAACTGGAACTGGACTGGTCCTACCAGCCGGTCGACCGGTCCAGTCCCCCCCCGGTTGGCCGTAGTGCATCAATTTTTTTTTATTTTAATAATAATTTATTTTATTTTTGAAAGCACAGGGTGTTGTAGAGTCCAAGGACTAGACCCACGGTGATCACTGGCAGGGGCAGCTGGTGGTTGTCCTTACAGGATAGGCATCTTCCCTTACTCTTCCCCACGTTAATGCTCCCAGCGCACCCCCTACCCCTACTATCCTACCTCAGTGTGACGAGCACTCAGGACCATCACCCTACCAGTATCGAGGGCAACTTGGACCAGACAGCAGTGACAAGCACCCCCTAACACTATAACACCCACCCCCCTTTTCAAAGTTTTTGGGTGGGAAGTACCATCCCTACCCTGCCACTAACACCCCCAGCCCCCTTTTCAAAGTTTTGGGCGGAAGGTTAATGTTTGCAGAGAGCCAGGTACATTGTTGTCAATGTCTGGTGAAGCCCTTGCTTGCTGAAACCCCACCACTAACACCCTCACCATAACCCCCCCAACCCCTGACCCTCAACCCTTGAAACACAACCCCCCTCCCCCTCCCCGCCCCCCTCCGCCACCCCCAACCCCCCAAATGAACCTTCTCTGTTCAAAGTTTTCTTTGCGGATTTGGGGAGATCTCGGTGAG